TCTCTGATGGGGTGCTACCCCATCTCTGTGTCTTCTCTGATGGGGTCTTACCCCATCTCCGTGTCTGCTCTGAGTGTCATCTTCTCTTGGAGCATCATTGTGTAGACGTCTACTCATGTGCGAGCTGAACTTCCCTGATGTAACAATCTAAAATCGAGACAGAATGCTCCAAAGTCCAAAATCTTTTCAGCATTGAAGTGACAGCACATGTGGAAAATTTCCATATTTGATTTCATATAGTGGAGTGCCACTGGCTTAGGGCCTGGGAATGGCCTTTTGGGCGCTTGCCCAGCATGTGGAAGGTCATAACATAGTCACTAAGTTGACACCAACTATGACAAAAAGAAAAGAAAAATAAAACCACCAAACTTAAGATGTATTGAAAATACTTATTGCTAAAATTAGCTTCAGCCCATGTATATTGTGCTAGGTGTACACACAAAATGATAACTGAATTTCATGTTCAAGCTTGAGTCTTAACCTTCATACATATATATGAAAATACATATACATATACATATATATATATATATATATATATATATATATTCCATATATATGGAATACATCTGTATTCTATAAACACATATATGTATGGAATACATATATGTAGACAAGTATGTAAATATATATTCCATATATGTATGAAACATGTATATTAAATATTTTAGATATGTAATCTGGAAGCTCAAGTGTTGAATAGAGGAATGCAAACCCATGTAACTTGCCCAGAGGCCTCTCTGAAGACCTGCCTGCTGATGCTTAGTTCCACCCCCACTATTCTCCATCTCACACCTAGTGCAGAACTATCATCCCCTGAAATTATCCTGGGTGATCACTCATCTCACTCCTCTCTCCCAGACTGCAGGCACCTCTGTCTTGTCCACCATTGTCGCCATGCTTGACATAACAGCTGGTGTAGCACAAATGCCCAGTAAATACTGTTAAGTATTTGAATGCATAAAACAACGGAACCAATGTTATTTTAAAAGTATGTCTATAAGGTTTGTTTATTTTATTTAAAGCTGGTGCATGTTCTGCCTTCGTGTATGTCTGTGCACTGAGTGTATGCATGCCTAGTGCCTGAGGAGATAGAAGAGAGTGTCAGACTGCCTGGAGCTGGAGTTACAGGTGGGTGTTAGGAGCCATGTGGTGCTTAGAGTCAAAGCTGGTCCTCTGGAAGGGCATCCAGCACTCTTAATTGCTGAGTAATTTTCTCAGCTTTCATGCTGTTTTAAACTTTGTAATAACGAAAATCTAGTAGACTGCCTGCTTTCAGTACCTTCTATGAACTCAATATCCCAGTTTGAAGGCCTTGTTAGTTACTCAGGTAATTTTTTCATGGTCCTGACACCACCTCGCTACTTAGTCTGTTTCAAGTTATTTGTTCCTTGGTTTCTGGTATCTATTCATTTCTGGTATTTATTGTGTTCTCATATCTTTTTATAAAGTGCTGGAAACACAGTGGTAAAGAAAACAAAGGGTTTTCTTGCTATTGAAGAGCATCCATTGGTGAGAGAGACATGTTTTTAATGAGTGAACTACAGAGCATCTGAGATTATTGTGAACTCCCAGGAAAGGGGTCAGGTGAAGGACAGGATGGAGAGGACCTCTCTGGGATGGATGGTAAACTTTATCTCATGGAGCATGATGTGACGCAGTTAGTCAATGTATGTAATGCTTGAGGCACGTGGCATTTAGCAACAGCACAGTTCACATTATTTACTATTTACTCACTAATTTCAGCCACCCACTCTTCCAGGCAAAATGCTTTAATTTCATTCATAATACGTTTTGTTTATTTTTCTGGGGCTTCATCAATCTGATATCATGCATCTCTTTATTGCTATTGTTCCCGATTAATTTTTAAATCCTAGTGCCCCAGCATCCCTGGCTGACATCTAGCTCCTGCACACCTCTGGAATCAATGAACAGGTGCCTCTGGGAAGAACGGTTTTTTCCTATAATGTAGAACTGTAGATTCTTGAGCACTGCTCTCAAGCTCTCAAACCCATAATTTAGTATGCTGCTCCTTCTAAGAAAGTTCTGTTTCTTCTTCCCTGGTCCATCCTACCTGTGCTCTCTGGGCTAAACTCATTACTTCTTCAAGCATGCCTTCAAATATATATTGTACCAACTTACCTCTCCCATGCCTACTCATGATTTTGTTTTAAACACAGCATGCCCAACTGTGGCCCACACCATACCATGATGTATGAATATGTATCTTCTTCAGCCCAAATTGAGACTGGGGTACCAGATATTTGTGAACCTTCAGCTCACCCCATAAGAGCAGAACATTTGACACATGGCAGGCATTTCAGTGACTCTTAATAAACATTTGCCAAATGAATAAATATTTGTTCACATAAATAGATTGAGGTTGAGAATGTTTTGGTCTAAGGTTGTTTGCCTGTAAGAAAAGTCAGCATAACTTGACAAGCTAGGAAAAGCTGACATTCATCATGTTTATGGACCTGTGCATGTATATGGAT